ATCTGAGGCAGGAAACATAGCCTTATATGGTGTTTTTGGGGTGGTAATTATGCTAATCTCCTCTCACGTGCACGAGCAGCTGGATACGAACAGGTGAATTTACGCAGCTCATTTACACACTTTTCCTGAAGATAGAAGAGTTTGTTGAACCTGACATAACATGTTCGTACGAACACTTTGTACGAACAAAAGTAAGAGAAATTTAGGAGAAGAATACGAACATGTTCCAGCATGAGGCCCAATGACTGGAAGATGACAGTCTGACCTTAGGGTGCTTTAGCTGGATCTGGACTCTAGATAGTTTAGCATTTAGTCAGCCACCAGTTGTTCAAGTTCTCCCACTTTATGAAGAGTAGTCTCTACCTCAGCAGAGACTAATGGGGACCCGTAAATAAGATAAAATAAAATAAAATAAAATAAAATAAAATAAAATAAAAAATATAAAATTAAATTAAATTGAATTAATAAAATTTGACCCTTCTTAGCTAATGGGCAGGAATAGTTGCTTCTCCATCTTGAAACTGTGTTAACACACACCTGTATGCTCCAGAGCAGGGCTATTCAACTGGAGGCCCGTGGGCCACATCTGGCACGCGAGTGACCAAAATGTGGCCCACCAATTGGTTTACTCATCTCTTAAGTCCAAACCCACGGTTTTCTACTTTAATTACTTTAAGTTATTTTAGTTAAACATAGACATGTTTGGTGTCTACAGAAACGTCAGAATCTTGGCTAGAAGCTGGTAAAAAAAACATTTCTATGAATATCTAAGACAGGTAAAACTACAAGCAGTTGAAGATAAAACTATGAAAGTGAAAATAAAATTGGTTTAAAAATTTAGCAAGTCAAATATGTCAAAATAAAATTTGTGTTAAATAGGAGGCAGAATGTGTTTTGTTTTTGATATTGTTTTATTATCACTACATTTATTACACAGGGTTCTGTATGTTGTATTCATGATTAAATGCATCAAAATGAACTAATTCAAAGGTAACAGATTTATTAAATGATTTTAATTGCTGAATGTTCGGTCCCTGTGCCGTTGTTCTGCATTAAATGTGGCCCCCGGAGCAATTTAGTTGAATAGTCCTGCTCCAGAGCAACAAACTGACAAAACTCCTGCTTTTATAGAGATGATCACAGTGATGATGATCTGTTGATTAATACATCTGATCAGTATCATATTAAAACTCTTCAACCTTATGGAAGCAACAAAGGTGGATTTAGTTTTTCACTAATGGCTTTTTCACGTTTGTTTTGTTTTGTTTAATTAATAAAATGGTAAAATCTCTTGTCGGTTTGATTTAATCAAAATTTTAAACTAGTGAAAACCAGATCCTATTCATTATTTTGCTTAAAGTAAACCCCACAAACTGAAAAGGGTGGACTTTTTCTCCCCTTTCCACAACAACGAGCTCATCTATTTTTAACAGGAAAGAGCGAGGAACGAGAGTGCCAAGAGTTCAATTGGATAAATGCCTAAAATTTACCACAAAGAAATCGAAACAACCCTTTTTTTTGCCCCAGCAGAGTGTTTAACTTGAGATATTAAGACAAACAAATGAGTAACAGTGAATTCCATTCAAAGGAATCTGTGTGTTTAGCGGTGTTAAAACCAGATCTGCAGCATGCTCCGGTGCAGCAGTGGAATAATACACTTGTTATTAAACTCGTTTTATTTTTCAACTTAAAATGTCTAATGTGAAATAAGGCTATAGAAAGGAAAGACATGTTAAACAGTGTCACTGCTGTTTAAAAAAATAAAGAAAGATAAAAAACTTCTCACCTTTCTCTAATGAAGTCCGTCAGCTCCTTGGTGGAAATTTGTCCATGTTTCATGTTGTGATAGAGGACATCAAAGCCATTGTTTTTTTCTCCCTGAGACAAAAGAGGTAGACAAACAATAAGTTCCTGCCAAAATAAAAAAATAAAAAATCCAACAGTCTGCGATTACACATTACCAAAAAGTCTTTTTCTAGCATCAGCATTCTCATTGCCTGCGTGGCTTCTAGCTGCATTTGCAGGAGTTTCTGATCGATCATATTCATCATAACCGTGTCTTAAACAACCGTGGACAGCTTCAGTGCTACAACCTGGTCTGTTTGTAGCAACAATGCACTGGCTGACGGTGTCCTGTTGCACCAGGGTTTTAAAAATGCAAACATTGTCCTGAATAATTAATATATTAAAAAAAGAATGTTGGTTTAAGTTTAAAACACGTTCTTTAAAAGCTAAACGACATGAAATGGAGTCTTTTAGCTGCTATTGATATATTATGTGCAACACTCCTGAGGTTTTCATGACAACAGGAAACACAGAAAATAGAAGACAATCAAATAAACCTAGTAGACTAGAGACAACTCAATGGGCCTCATGCAAGAACCGTTGGTACGCACAGATTTGTTCTTAAGTTGTGCGTACGAGTGATTTAGGAGAATTTGTGGCATTCACCAATGTTTTCGTATTCTACGATTTTTTTCTGATACAAACAAAATCGTATCTGAATAAATGAAAATGATTTAACACAGTTGTTTATACTTTTAGCAGCTCTTTTTGTTCCACAGCTGACC